ACAGATTCAGTAAAAATAATTCGATCCTCGTAACAGGATCAATATAATTAAAAGGAAAATCAAAGAGACTGATCTATTAGAAGCAGAAACTACGCATAGCAGGATGTCAGAAGGTAAATCACATAATTGATATGTTGATATCAGATCCCGCAAGTGGTAATTGCTTCGAACGATTTAGTCTCGGCCAATTTACATGCCCCGACAAGAGCACTTTAGAAAACCATATGTGTTGAGGGCAGGGCTGCATGTCAGAAAGAAAAGACGTGTATTAAGAAAAATCTCTTTTGAATACCTGGTGGGACCGAATGTAGCAGTACCCATCTGTCTTGGTTTATACAAAGGAGGCGAATGGTGCTGGGCGAGATTCTGAGTAAAACAACCTAGACAATCGAGCTACTTATACAGGGGATTTGATCCCATTAACTTGTCAATTTAACTCGGATTTATAGATAGCACAAAAGCAAAAGAAACAACATTACAAAAGTTTCCTTATCAGGCTAATACTCGCTACTAGACTTACAACAAGAAGCGAACGAAGGATTTTTCAAAAAAAATCTTTACAAAATCTGTATCCAGGGGACCGTTCCTCAATAGTTCTGCCAACCTAACGGGCCCGAAGCCATATTTTATAATAAAAAGTTGAAGAATAGAGAAGCAGGCTCTGAACCCATAATCAGTCCATTTTGTCTCTTTGGCTGTTAGCTTTATTGTATAATTCCCAAAACGTTCGAAAACCCCATCTTAAATGAAACCAGAAGAGCTTTACGGGCCTGCTATGTTAGCGGAACCTTCGAGAAACAGGGCCTGGAGTTGATTTAGATTGTTAGTTTAGATGTATGAGCAAGCTGAATATCTTGTTTTGGATTCCTGTGAATGATCGTTTTTCTTCAGTGCTTCTGGTAGCGCTAATCAGGTGTATTTGCATGCGTTGTATTTTCGTAATCATAATTTCTCTCACTATTTCAGTAGATCGGTCTTCAAAGATAGCTTCGGATAGTTTAAGTTTGTTCAATTGGAAAACAAAGTAAAGTAAATGATAACAAGGATAACGTCTTCTGATGATAATTACACCAATGTTTTTCTTTCTGTGGGAAGCCGGTAGCATATGCTAGGATATTTCTTGTCCTTTTAATCTTCGTGGACGGGCATGACAGAAACGTTTAGTTAGAAAAACGCAGTAACTCAGAAGAACTGTGAGGGAGAGAGGGCGGCAGGCAAGCGAAAATAAGTATTCCACTAAAAAAGGCATTCTTTTAATACCCGTAACCTTATTCGTTTATATTTCCATCAAAACTTTGTCTTCGTGAGGGTCGGAGCCAACAAACCATCCTTTCATCGTCGAACGATTCAGATCTCACCCATGCCATTTTTTCTAATCAGTTGAACAGGCACTGGAAGCAAATTGTTCTTTCATGGTTTCCCAATAATATATTTTTATCAGCGTAAAGACTTAAATTTTGAAGTCAAAGTTATGTCAAAAGCACCTCAATAAAAGCTTTATTTATTGCCAGACGATGAGCGCTTGCTTTAAACTGGTGCTCAGACCCTTTTACCGTTTTGTCTTGCGCAATTTTGTATTGTTAAATGGATCAGTCCGAGGCTCCCGTTCTCTTTCTTGGTTTTAGTAACATGTGTGCGCGAACTCAGCTCCTAAAATGTTAAAAAAAAAAAGAAAACAAGCACAGCCCTCCAGCGCTTTTCACGTAGAGTTACTACCAATTCCACATGCATGTGAAAAGCATTTGAAAAGCATCGCCTGGGTCGACGGCGGTTGAAACTCGGTCGAGTCTCCTTCAGTATCGCGGTCACAAATCTCCGGCATCACCAGTCCCTCAGAATATGGTCTCACTCTTAAAAGGGAGATTACATTTCTTGTAGGAACAGCTGCCAGGAGATAGCAGAACTTTGTTTACGATTTTACTGAAATTCGACGAGAAGGTAAGAATTGTTTTGGGCAAGGTTTTCGCGTAACCCCGAATTTATCATGCATTCAGTAGCTGGGTAGAACAAAACAACGGCAAAACAATAGATTGTCCTTAGGACTACGACTTGTTTCAGAGTAGCATGGGTTTATAAGGAAATGTATGCTCATTTTGTAGCATTGTTCAGCTAAACTACAGAATACAGGGCAACTTTTAACCATCCACAAAGCGAGCCACTGAATAAAGAGACCTAAGACTTAGCGCATATAGAGTATTCCTCGTTCTTTTATTTACAACCCATCCAAACGAGCCAAATGGACCTTGAACGTAATGCGTAGTTTCATTAATCCTCGTTCTTTCATCCACTGCCGTGCCGAAGGAGCCAAAGGAGGTCCAAGATATATGTTCTTTCAAAAGTGGCTCTGTATTGTGTAGTTGGCGGCTCCCATTGTTGTACTTAAGCAGCGTTGGTAGTTGCTCGGGTTTCAGCTTTGAACCAGCATCTGCTTGAACCAGTGTGTTCTTCATCGAACTAATTACTGAACATAAAGGATGAAAATATGTTTGATTGTATTTCACAATCGGTAATTTAGCCTTCGGCTTATATATTTAAAGCTTTTACGAGTCGCGAAGAGCCTTAAATCGTTGCGTTATCCCAACAAGGAAGCTCCAACATTAAAAATGGAAATATACATGACGTTCAATATCCAAAATAAAAGATCAGTTTCCAATCACAGCCTGGGACACATGTTTGAAGACATTTCAAAAAAACATTGCTTGGTCCATATTGGCGGGTTCCCAGATGCAGTGGACTGATTTATTGCAGTAATTTAACGTTGCTATTTTTATCATATGCCATTCGTCAAAACATCTCAATCGAATTGAGTTTTTACAAACGTTATTTAAGACATGTTTACCGTTAAGCTCAAAAGGCCGAAACCTCCTTCATGAGCACCTCTAGGTATATTGAAACTTCTATATCAAGTTGCGTCTGGATTTTGTTTTGTAACTCAATGATTTTTGCAACAGAAGCTTCTTTCATCTTGTCATATGATTTTGGTGCGGGCATGGACAAATCTTCGGTTTCAATGTCATCTTTCCCGATTTAGAGTATATTTTCTAACCATTTCAGTCTGATGAGTGAACTGGGTTCTGGCAGAAGGATCTTATTACTGAACATAAAGCATGAAAATATGTTTGATTGCATTTCATAATCGGTAATACATGTTGACTGCCAAAAACGAGGAAATATACCGGTCCTCTCGTGCGCAAAGTTCAAATGTGAATGAAATGGAGCCTCTCCTAAACCTTAAAATTTGCAGGCTAAACACAAATTTAAGAACTTGAAAGTGACGGTAATTCCTAAAGCAGTTTTACTTATCGCTTTTAGTTGCGTAAATATGTTATGCTATTGAACAGATTGACAAAAGTTAGAATTAGGATATAATCCTTTCCCAACTTTAGGCAAAGCGC